TGTTTCGCTCCATTGCATCATCGCACCCACCTTCATCTGCGCTGTTATTGGCCCACCAAACCGATAAAGCGCAGTGATTTGCAAGACGCCAGACTGGTCAGACCTGCTGAAGCTCCAGTGGGGCGTGGCTAAACCGACATGCGGAGCTAAATAATGTTGCTTCTGCTACAGTCTAGATTATGTAATTCATGCAAGAAATGATAAATCTTCTATGTCAAAGTTTTTGCTTTAAGAGTCAGAATTGTCTAAGTTTCAAGTCTGATTTGTTGTTGTTTTATTTTGTTGTTTTCCTTCAGACCAACTTGAATCTGCAGAAATCAGGAACAGCAGTTCAGATCAAATCAAATGAGTTTGAACTCTCCACAAACAGCCGCTACACAGAATGCATCTAGAACAGCGTATTCTAGGATTACGGCTAGAGGTTTGGACCTGGGCAGTGGAATTAAAAAGCAATAAAGACGACATGCACAAGTGTTTGTCTCATGTTACCGGAGGAAACTGTGGTTTCCTGATCAATAGCAGGCCCGGGCTGCTCTTCACAAGAGGAAACCCAACAAGAGAGGGCATTTTTTATGTCTACATTAATCAGAGACCAGGGCTGCCTGTCTGAGTCAGTGTCTGAGGGGAGATGGATAGAATGCTGACAAGAGCATTAGCATGCCAGGAAGAAAACCACAGATGCTGAGGTTGTGCCCACTAGCTGCAGCGGCACAGGGATTTCTACTCGAGGCCAGTGGGTCAGAAAAGGAACCGGATCTCCCAACAGAAGCAGGCTAAAACCAAGCCGCGATGGTCCGAGGATCACATCCAGCCCATAAACATACCTCTCTGGTCTGGATGAGAGCCCATCCTGCTAATTAAATGAGGAACTGTCAGTTTAACTTTACAAGAAGATAAATTCAGCACGGTTGTCGCTTTGCTTTACATTTCCACCAAACCAATCAACAACGCTTTGAACAAAAAGACATTCTAATATGTTCCAATAGGCAGCGTGGACGATAATAAAACTTATTTTCAGTCTGCAGAGAGATTAGCACGCAGGTTTCTGATAATGTCAGATTTATCTATTTCCAAATCATCTCGCGCGAGTGGCCTTTTTAGTGCCTGCTTCAAAAAGCATCGCTGGTACCCGAGCAGCTGTCACTTTCAGCAGGAACCGAGGAGGACAGAAGCGGGGGGAGGGGTCCTTTGAAGAAACTGCTAAAAGTGGGCGATAAAAATAAACTGGGAAAGAGGAGAAAATTAATTATACATAACAGACAGTTCACTTGGATGAACACGACAGAGACTGGGGAAACTAAGGCCTTCCTCAAAGAGAGGAAGAGGCGTTTCATAGCAGCGGAAAGTTCTGCTCCTCCGTTGCTCTGGTCAAATTAATTTGGCTACAAGCTAAAGAAGGGATGCAGCAAGGAATATTTTCTGAAAGAAGGCAAGGCATCAAACAATACACGCCGAGCCTTTGGCTTCACATTCGAATTCACATCATGCACGCCCGTTAATTTAGACCGTTTCCAGGGTTGAAAGCAATGCGGTGCTGAGCATTTTTGTTAAAAATGTGATTGGGCGTGCAGATAGCCTCGTCTAGCCTTAGATTTGACTCTGATTGGCACTGATGAGGGTTTATGCTGCAGGCTCACCTGCAAATTCACCTCTTGGTTTCATTGGTAATGCGCCGGCATTCTGCAGTTCAACACCACCTACTGACTGTCAATCCCAGCTTCTTATTTCGGCCAAATAGAGGTCATTCCAATTTGAGCAGTCAGTCAAGACAGGCCCACCAGGTATTGGCGAGTTAGTTTATTTCATATTAAGGCTTGTAGGCTGGATGCTACCATGAGAAACGTATGTGTGGACTGCAAGATCTCCAGATGGATCCCTACTGCTGCTCCCTCTTTAGTGCGTTTTAATATCGCCGCTGCTTGCTGTGTGGCTCCTCGCCTCCGGGCCGTCGCACAGACCCCGGAGAGACCAAATACTCAGCGATGGAGAGGTGCCACCATGCAGCAGGAGGAGAGGGTGTGTCAGAAACAAAGGAGCAGAAGTTCAAATTTAAATGAATTTTAATGAAAAGCTTCTTTAAAAAGCGAAAACCGGGCATGAAGGATTTTCACCTAAGGCGCGGAAGCAGCAATGTGCCGTTCCAGCTAACCTCCTCAAGAAGACTGACACAAATGAAAACTCATGTAATAAAAAACAAGCCATCTTCTCCAGCTATTATATGAAAACACATATTACATTACAGCACTAGTGAGCCAAGAAAGCGCTCGCGTAGAGTTATGAGTGGAGTGTACCAACTGTCTCTGACATAACCACTACGCTGGTTTTTAGAGGAGATCCTCTTTCAGAGTGATAAATGCTTCTTTGATGAGCACCAGGACAAAAAAACACAAGGTGCAGAGCAATTATCCCCACAAACATGCAGAAGAACCGGTTGTAAGGAGGAAGAGGAGGACTCTAGGGCGGCCAAGGAGTCTGAAGAGAAAACGAGAGGCAGGGGATGTATGTATGGGAGATCCACTGCGCACCTAATGAGGATGAGTGAGGAAGAGAGGGGAGGTGGGAAAATAAAATAACAAAAATGGGAAAGGGTGAGGGCTTGGAGGGAACTTGGAGAACAGAGGGTGCTCTCACGGTAAAAGCAGGAAGGATAGAGGAAAGAACCTGAGAACAGGAAGAGAAGAGGTAGGGAGAGAGGAGGAAATGCCTTAAGATGAGGGTGTCACACTGGTTCCAAATGTCAAACACACACACACACACACACACACACACACACACACACACACACACACACACACACACACACACACACGTCAACAGTCCACATACTGGTCATGTCTGCAGCATTGACACCCTGATGACTAAGAGCTGAAACTCTTTCCACGTTCATGAACTTCCTTGATGCCATGATGTTGTTTTTTTCTTTCTAAATAAAAAAAAGTCTTCATTCTGGCTGCAGAAGTTCAGTCTAAATCTATTTTTATCATGCATTAAAACAGGTTTACAACCAGCCTAGCTGCTGTGCCAAATGCAGTTTGGTTTTCACTTCAATGCCACCATTCTGCTTTGTCATCCGACGACAATCTAATTAGACCCTGAATACGCCACTGACTGAAAGGGTCCAGAGGAATGCGACGTAGGGGAAGCCACACAAAGGCCCGGGCCAGAGGGGTGCAAAGTGCACATGTCAGCTCGGATTCCAAAGTTTGAACATCACTGATTTACTCCACACAGCGGCGGGGCGGACGCTGGAAAGCCATGACACGGCCGCTCCATTGTGGAGCAGATCTGTATCATAATTAGGGATGATTGAGGAAAATCGCTTGTAATTTTCTGGCTGGTTTGCCAACTTTTCAAGTAAAATGCCAAACACGGTTCTCCGGAAAGCTTCTGCTTTACATCCAGCAAATTTAGATCACAACAATGTGGCTTTTGGCTGGGGCAAGCCTGGACACGGTCTTATCGTTTCATGAAAGCGACGCCCCAAGAAGTCTGGACTATAATAACGATAGATGTTTTGACTTGCTCCAGCTAAACACACGCTAATAATTATCTCTGTTGCTGACACAGATCCCACATTTTGCAGGAATGCTGTTTGTTGTGAAGTGCATGCCACAGTCTGCTGTGTGTTGCTGTCAATCAGCCTGCGTTCGGGTACCACCTCTTAAATAAACACTGGTGTCACGGTTCAGATCCCAGATCATTTACATCTGAATGCTGGACCTTTATTTTAGCTGTCAGTCAAGAAGCTGCAGCTCTGCTTAAACTGCTGCAGAAAAAAAACTGGCCTTGTGGTAACTGTGGTTCAAACAAATCACCTCATTATGTCACAGTTTATTCTGCATTTTAATATTTAAAGACAACTGCAGTGATTTTTTTATTGATACGCTGAAGCTTGGTCCATTTCTTCTTCCCATCTATCTGGGAAAAAAGGTAGAAATTAATTCTACGCTCATCTAATATGATTCATGAATACATATTTAAAATGAATTCACACTGGAGTGTGCAGGGGTCGGGGTGCACAGACTAATTTGGTTAACCAAGATTTGATTTTCTCTCTCTTTTTTTTTTATGAAGGAGAATCCAATAAGAGCAATAAGAGCGTTTTCAATAGCTGCACTCAAACACACCCACAGCCAGCTCAGCTCACCACTCCATCCCTGCTCCAAAAGGGGGAATTCAATTGCTGTCGAATTATAACGAAACTCACAAATTGCTTCCCATTCGTTAGCAGATTAACGCTCTTTTCACATCACAGCAGCACAATTTCTAATTATTTTAAAGCTAATAAGGATGGGGATCGATTTTTTTCTTCTCCTCCTGCAAACAAACACGGCGTCCTCCCTCCCTTAAGGAGATCTAACACAACTCCTCCCTGGGGTCCTCTTAGAATAAAACAGGATTCATTCAAATCAGCGGGAATAAATATTATAAATAAAACATGAGTGGATTGTTTTAGAGTCCTCCGGGACTGTTTATCCAGGAGACAGACAGTGAAGCGGATACCTGTAATTACGAGGTGATAACGTTCCTGCTCTGAGGCGAAGCAACAAGCTGTCCGGAACCTCCTTTTATTCGTTTAGGTTTAGAAAGTGGTTTTTAGAACAGAAATAGAAATAAACTCACAGCAAAATGCTGAAACTCTGACGAAACCAGTTAGCTTCCAGCACCAGCTGGTAACAATTAGACGGTAAACTACTGAAGTTAGCTGGTTCACGGTTAGCGCGGTGGTAACGGAGACTGCAGCCTCCACACGCCGGCGCACACTTCTCCAAAGAAGGCGCAAAATAAGCGCTTTTCTGTGCGTCCTCCTCAAAAACTCGCGGAGAAACACCCCCCGAGGGTGGTCGCGTAGAGAGAGAAACACGGGAAACCCACCAACAAGGACGGAGTAACAGAAGCAACTAAATGAAATGAAACGAAATCAGCTGATTATTCCCATAAAACAGCCGCTGCGTCCCCTCAACAGGAGCCTCGCGCGCCGGGCTGCTCCCGGTACTTACGGGTTCAGGTGATCCGTAGGGTCGGTGTCCCTGCCATGCTTTTAAATTCCAAAACTTGGGTACATGTCCACGCTGGTCGCGGAGTTGGAGGTGCTCTCTCTGCGACGGCTCCCTTCGCGTGAATGGAGCGGAGTGGAGAGGAATGCAGC